AGCAAACTATGTGGGGTTGGGGTAAGGGAGGAGAGAGATCTGTGTTTTTTTGCCTGGGCTGGAGGACAGGGGCATGTTCCAGGCCAGACTGGCTGCCTTCGTGCCCCTTGTCTGTGAAACAGGGAGAAGACATGCGCCTTAATGCTGTCTCAGGGACAGTAAGTAAGCTGACATGAGAGCCGGGCCCAGCACGGCCAGCTCTGCTTGCCTTCGAAGAAGAGGCTTTGGACCCTACAGTGTGTGAGGCTCTAGGAGTCTGTGGAGCCTGGAACCGGAAAGCTTGGGGATGCACCACGTGTATGAGGCCGTCACCTACTGTGAAGTCGTAGTTGCTGGGTCACATTTAATTGCGCCCTAAAGAGCAGATGGCCACACCGGGGGCTCTGACACACTGCTCTGTTTGCCCGACTGGCAGTGCTGCCCCAGTGGGCACGGGGGCCTTTGTGCCAAGACTCATGCAAAAGTCAGGCTGTAGCCATGAGGGTATTTTTCAGTCAATTCTTATCTGTTGTGGGGACTTCTCTGGCTCTGGCTCCCTTTTGGTCTGCAGTGGGGAACTTGAGACCAAGTCTTAGCGGAGACAGCCAGAGGCGCAGGGATGGTCGAGGAGGAGGAGAGAAGGCCTTGGAGGCAAGGGTTTTGTCTTCAGCTCCTAAGAGCTGAAGGCCTGGGTGGGGAGGCAGACAGGATTATAGAGGGACTCAGTCAGCTGCCTGGCTCCTCTCAGCAGCCACCACCTGCAAACAGTATCACCTCCATGAGCCTCAGTTTCCTCACCTCTAAAATGGGAGTAATAGCATCTATAGGATGAGGGGGTACAATTGGAAAGGAACTTTAAATAAACAACCCAAGGTGCTGCCATTCTGACCACCCCTTTCAGTCCACATTCCCACTCCGTCTTGTCTGCACACACTTGGCTTATGTGACTGCAGGCATAACGTGCATTTTGCTTTTCCTAACCTTCTGTTAGATCACAATTCTCCACATTTTTACATGCTTCTTGTGGATTACATTTTTTTTTTTTTGGCCACACTGCACACCATGTGGGATCTTAGTTCCCCAACTGAGGATCAAATCCATGCCGCCTGCAGTGGAAACACAGAGTCCCAACCACTGAACTGGCAGGGAATTCCCATGGTTTACATTTCTAATGGTTGCTAAACTGGCCATTATAGGTATGTCTCAGGAGTAACTAAAGCACACATGCCCAAAGCCACAGAATGTACACACAAATACACACACATGCTCACACTCCCACAATTTCTGTCAACTGTGAGGTGTTCAGACTGCTCCTACATTTCCACCATGGGAGACAACATCTTCATATGGATAATTTGTTTTTGCCATTTTTAAATGATCTCCTGAGGATGAATTTCAAATTGGGAGATCCCTGGGCCTAACTCTGTTACTCTGCCATTTTGGAGAAGGGGTACATTAAGGATGGCATTTCCAGCAGGCTGTTCGACACAGGGACAGACCACACTGGTGGCAGTGAGCCTCCAGTGCCTGGAGGTGTGCAGGACAACTGGGGCCGTTGTTCACTGTCTGTCGGCGTCATGGTGTGTCAGGCCTGTGTTAGCTGCTGAGGACACGGGTGACGCGGTCTCGGCCTTCCTGGAGGCAGAGGGAAAGGAGACAGAAAGGTAAAGGACAGAGAGCTCACAGCATGCACTCTGTGGGGCTGCTCAAGGCTGTTCGCTCCCCTTCTCATGCTGCGAAGACCCCACTCCAGGCAACCACAGCTCTGCACGTGGGAACGAATTGTGCCTGGGCGACAGGTCACTGTGCTCTCACATGCTTCACGGACCCCAGCTCCATGACCTGCAGCCCTTTCTTCATGCCTCTGACATGAAGTGATTTGTCCTGGGGGCTTCTAGGCCCCACTCAATGCCTACCTCTGGACCAGAGATTTCTTGAGGACTCCTTTTAATCTGTGCCTGCAGAATGACTGGCTGTTGAGACGGGGCTTGCATGAGGGCAGCCTCTAAAGATGCTGCTTCAACTTCTGAGAGTCCGTGGGCAGCTTCTCTAGGCTGTTTCCAAGGAGTATGCACAACTCCCACCCTACAGGAGCCACAAGGCCAACTGCTGGCCTTAACGGTTGTCTGAACGAAGTCTAGAGACCTTGGGTTGCTGTGTGACCTTCTGTCACCCACTTCACCTCTCTGTTTCCACTTCAGGAAAGGGGCATGGTAATACAGGGAGTTTCAGCTCGAGGCTGGGCTACTTCATTCCCTCCCTACAAAGTCCACTCTTGGTTCTGAACACCAGATAGGGCAAACTCGATCACAAGAGTTGTAAAATTATGGGTGTATCAGGGAAGGCCTGAGAACGAGCAGTCACAGACCCATGAGAACACAAACTGGATGAGTATATACCATATATACCACTCCTCCCTACTCATCCCTGAATACCTGATACCTCTGCCAGGAACGGATGCGCTACATAAATTGGGAGCTAGTGTCCACCGACTGGGAGACAAACTGGAGACTGGCGTCCCCTAGACAGAGGGCACGGATGACAGTGTTAACAGCTGAGAACAAACCTCCCTGGACAGAGCAAGTTGATCTCCCTGGATTAAGTCCCCAGGGTGGGACAAGCTGCAGCAACCAGGCCCGTGATCGTCCATCTAAAACCTGGATGTATGCGGCCCAGCAGAAGACAGCTCCCTCTCTGATGGGCACTGCCCCGTCACACAGGGCCCAACTGACCCTGTTAAGCCTTATTGGAAAAGTGCAAGTGTCAGTTGTTCAGTCATATCTGACTCTGTGACCCCATGGACTGTGCCCGCCAGGCTCCTCTGTCTAGGCAAGGGACACTGGAGTGGTAACCACTCCCTTCTGCAGGGGATCTTCCAGACCCAGGGATTGAATTCCGGTCTTCTGCATTGCAGGTAGATTCTTTACCATCTGAACCACCATTAGACCCTATCAGACCAGGTCAATCAGCCTGAAATACCCCTAGTCTCCTTGTAAAGAAACTTAGTGGAGGGACTCCGTTGGCAGCCTAGCGGTTAAAACTCTGTGCTTCTATTGCAGGGGGTGTGGGTTCAATCCCTGGCTGGGGAACTAAGATCTTGCAAGCCACATGGCACAGCCGAAACAGAAATAATACCCAGTGGGGAATACCGGATGGTACAGGATCACAGGACAGCCAGTGAAGCCACCGAGGTACATGTCCAGGGGTCTCTAATCCGTATGCCTCACTGGCCACTCTAGTGTCCACCAGGACCTGCTATTCTGTATTAGATTTAAAAGATGCCTCCTTCTGTATTTCGTTAGCTCCAGAGTCACAAGACATATCTGCTTTCCAGTGGCAGGGCCCAAACACACAACAAAAAAAAAACAACAATACTGCTGGACTGTCCTGCCCTGAGGGTTCAAAAATCCCCCCATCATCTTTGGGGAAACTTTAGCTAAAGACCTAAAAGATCTCCATCTGGAGAAGGAAACCCTCCTACAACATGTTAGACGACATTCATATCTCCAGCTGTAACCACCCTGAGTCACTGAGCTGATAAAGGATATAAGGTGTCCAAGGAAGAGGCTCAGATGTCACAAACTAGGGTGACCTAGGTACGCTTCATTCTCACAGAAGGTCAGAGCAGCCTTCCCCCGGTAAGGAAAGAAGCTACTTGCAGTCTTGCCCCTTCTAGAATTGGAAGACAGCTTCGGGGTGTTTCCTGGGGATGGCTGGATTTTGCCACATCTGGTTCCCTAACTATGATCTAATACCTGGGCCTCTATATGAAACGTTGAAAGGAAAGGATGACGATCCTTTTGAATGAAATTCAGAATGGGAAGGGGCCTTTCAAGAGTTGAAAAAGCAATTACTTCAGGCCCTCACCCTGGCCCTCCCAGATTTAGCTAAACCCTTGACCTTTGTGTTCATGAGAGAAGGGGGATCACCCTTGAGGTATGTGCTCAAAAACTGGGACCCCCCCCCACCCCAGCGCCTTGGACTACCCCAATGGTCCAGTGGTTCAGACTCAGAGCTTCCACTGCAGGGGCACAGATTTGATTCCTGGCTGGGGAAGTAAAATCTCACTGAGCTGTGTAGCGGGGCAAAAAAAAAACAAAAAAAACCACACACACACACAACCCCAAAACACAAACAACCCCCCCCCAAAAAAAACCTGGGACCCCTCACTTGGGGGGTTGTTTATTTCTCTAAGGAGTGACCTCCCTGCCTACCCACAGCGGAAGTGTGCAGTTTGGTCTGCCAACTGCCGTATGGACTCCACAGTAGGTTCAGGCTTTGCTAAGTTCTAAGGGAACAGAACGATATTGCCCCTCCAAAGTGGATTCAAGCTCAGGCTGTGCTTTTAGACAACCCAAAGGTTACCATGAAAACCTGTCACAGGCTACACCCAACCACACTGCTCCGCACAGAAACGGGGCCCGGAAGCATGATCCTACAGAAACCACAGATGAGATCCCCCTGACACCCCTATCTACGACGTGAGCCCCCACCAAGCGCTGACGGGGAACGGTTGACAGATGGAGAGAGGGGAAGAGGCTGACAGGACATGCAGGGGCCGCCAGACCCCAGTCACAGAAGCACGATGCCTCCCCCAAGGACTTCTGCCCGAAATGCCGAACCCACAGGCCTCCTGGAGCTTGCGAGCTTGTGATACAGTAGATCTTAAATGTTTACACAGGCTCCCGGATGCATGTGCCACCCGACTCCCCCAGACCTGGGGCTTATCTCTTTCAGGAACAACTGAGCCATCTCGGGTCACTCAGAGATGCCGACGCTCAGGGCTGGGTGAAAACCAAACACAGCTGAAGGCGGCCAGGAGCAGCTCTGCTCTCCCACCCATCACCATGAGGCCCCTGCCTCCCGGCAGGACGCAGCACAGAAGACAGACCTGCTCCCTCAGCGCCCCAAAGGCCGGAGGAGCCAGACGAGGGGCGGAGGAGGGGTTTGTCTGTCACCAGCAAAGCCCCCTAACAGTTCTCGGGAAATCAAAGTAGAATCTGGATATAATGAAGTCTAACCTTTTTTTTTTTCCCTGTTTCCTCTGTGCTTAGTTTCACTCACTCAGAGAGTCACGTGCTGACGTTTCAAACCTTTCAGACCTCGAGCCAGAGTTCCTGGAGCAAAATGGCTGCACAGACGCCTCAGTTCGGAGGGCGGTGTGCAGACGGGCTGCACACGACACTCAACTCAAGATGGCGGCGGCAGAGTATGCTCTGGCGCCGGGAGCAGCGCGGCTGTGCAGAACTCCGCCCTCTCCCCTTTGACCCTACAAAGTAGCCCTGCCCATAGCCTGCCCGGATACCTGGACTGTGGAGCTTGCGTTTGCATTTCTCCATGCATTGATCGAAGAACTGGGACATCGCTGGTGATGCAGTGGTTAAGATTCTGTGCTTCCAAGGCAGGGGGTGCAGGTTCTATCCCTGGTCGGGAAACTAAGATCCCACATTCCCTGCAGTACAGTCAGAAAAAAAAAAAAAAGATAAAGCCTTCCTTTGCTCCTGAACTAAACTTGGTCTCATTCTATTGATTCCAATGACACTGGACAGGACTCTTGCTAGGGACCCACTTGGGGGGGTGGGTTATAAAAGTACAAATTTGACCTTGTCATTACTATTTAAATCCTCTCAAGGGATCCCCAGTGCCCTCTGGTTAAATTCAAAATTCCTTAGCCTGGAATTCAAGCTGCTCCTCTGTCAACAGCAGCCTCTCCTCCTGCTCTGTTCCTCGAGAGAACTGTATTCAGCTGTACAGCCACCAGCCTCTACGACTCTGTGCCCTTCCTTATGCTACTGCCTCCACTCAGACGTCCGTCCCTGCTGAAATGCCTTTCTGTGCTCAGTTCCAAGATCATCCCCAGTGGAGCCTGGCTGAGTTTTGCACACTGAAGTCACTCCCTCATAGAATCACTGCGATCGTGTTATAAACACAGGTCCCCAGTTACCGAGCTGGGGTCCTTGGTGGTCTTCTGCTTCTTCTACTGTTTGACTTTCCCCTCTGACTCTTAGTTGCCTGGTCTGTAAAATGGGCGTAATCAACGTGCAAATGTAGCTGGGAGGATGAAGTATGATAGTATTTATATAGATTCCCTAGTATGGCCAGGGACACTTAGCAGATGCTGTGTAATATTTGGAGAAGGAAATGACACCCCACTCCAGTGTTCTTGCCTGGGAAATCCCATGGACAAAGGAGCCTGGTGAGCTACAGTCTATGAGGTCACAAGAGTCAGACTTAGCTACTAAAGCACCACCACTGTTAACAGTTATGAGGGGCCATCATGAGTACTCTCCTTTGTAGGGTGACCAACTGCCCCATCCACCCTGGGCTGAGAGGTATCCTTGAACGTAAGGCTTTTAGTTTTTAAAACTGGGAAGGTTTGGGGCAAGTCAGGACGAGTTGGGGGCCCTACATCTCCTGCTTTCTTCTCCTTGGATCAGTGATCTTGCTTGCCTGCCTTGGTCCCTGCTGGCCAGTAGAAATCGTTGAATCTGGGGCCCCAGCTGAAAAGCTGGAAACCCCAACTGAAGAGATGTAGTGAACAAAAGCACAAACAGTTTTCGAATATATTAAGAATCGATATTTTCCTTCCAGGAGTGATGTGGTCTGCATGTTACCCTTTATTCCTCTGAAGGGGTCACATTATAACCACCCCACCCTGACCCCCATTCCCTTGGCCTCTCAGCCTCACACATGTGCACGAGAGGGCTGAGAAAGCCACATTGGCCAAACTCTGGCTGGATTTTTCTGAGTTCTTGATGCTCTAAACTATACATCTAACTATTCCTCCATTTGAGTCTTGGGGATTATTATTATGTTTTTTTTCCTGCATTTTGTTCCTGGACTTATTTTGAGCCAAACGTCTCCTCACCCAAACTCCTCTGCCTCCTTTTCAAACCCAAGGCCACGTCCAACCTCGCAGGCCCAAACCACGCTTACATAACCCCCAGTGACAGTAAGTGTTTGTGAGGCCAGCAAAGCGGGGCCCGGGCCGCCCGCTCTGGAGCACAGGGGACATTTTGTCCTGCAAAATGATGCTGTTTAGGGTGTGTGCGTGAGTGTGTGTATTTTTCCCCTCTGAAATTCAAAAACAGCTCCTTTTGCTCAAGCTGTCAAAAGGAGAAGAGAAGAAGAAGAAGAAAAAAAAAAAAAAGTCTGCAGTAATTTCAGTGTTGGGCCCAGATCAAGAATTGCAAATGCTAAGAGAATATTTTCCAAAGTTAGGAGTCTAGTAGGAGTCTCCAAGTTACGGGAAATCAGAGACCGGCCTTGTGGAATTTCCAGGGGCCTTGTCTCCTGGCTGAGGCTTCCCAGGTGGCTCAGTGGTAAAGAATCTGCCCGTCAAAGGAGAAGTCAGGAGAGTCAGGGAAGGCTCCTTGGAGGCAGTGATTGTCTATTTTGAGAACTGCCAGTTTAGGAGATCCTTGACAGCAGGAGTTGCATCTGTCTTAATGACTGCTATGTCCCCAGCATGGTTCCTGGGACATTGTAGGCACACAAGATGTACACACTGAACCACTGAATGAATAGGAGTTGGTTAAGGTAAGGGGCTTCCCTGAGAGCTCAACTGGTAAAGAATCACCTGCAATGCAGGAGACCCCGCTTCAATTCCTGGATTGGGAAGATCCCCTGGAGGAGGGATAAGTTATCCACTCCCAGTATTCTTGGGCTTCCCTGGTGGTTCAGATGGTAAAGAATCTGCCTGCATTTCGGGAGACCTGGGTTCGATCCCTAGGTTGGGAAGATCTCCTGGAGGAGGGCATGGCAACCCACTCCAGTATTTTTACCTGGAGAATTCCCATGGACAGAGGAGCCTGGCGGGCTACAGTTCATGGGGTCACAAAGAGTCAGAAACATTTTGAGCAACTAAGCAGAGCACAGCTAAAGTAAGAGGAAGTGGTTGTGGTGGACAGAGTAACATCCTTCCAAGACGTCCGCATCCTAATTCCCTATAACTTGTGACTGTGTTTCCTTGCATGGCAGAAGGGGTTTTGCAGATGGGATTAAGATTTGGGGTCTGCAGAAGGCGGGGGGGAGGCATTATCCTGGATTATCTGGGGTGAGGGCAATGTAATTGTTTGAGCCCTCCAAAGCAGAGAGCGTTCCCAACTCGGTTCAGAGAGAGACGTTACTGTGGAAGAATGCCCAGAGAGATATAGTGCTGCCGGCCTTGACGATGGAAGAAGAAGGCCATGAGCCAAGGAATGAAACAGTCTCCAGAAGCTCAAAGAAGCAGGAAAACTCCGTCTCTCCTCCAGCCTCCAGGATGAAACGGCTGCATTTTAGCCCAGGGAGACCCTAACCTGCAGAACTGGAAACACGTCTAACCTCTAGAGCCGAAATAATAAATCTGTATTGCTGGAAGCCAGTAAGTGTGTAATTCATTACAGCAGCAAACAGAAACTAATACGGTGGAAGAGAGTTCCAGGCAGGGGGAACAGCCTCTGCAAAGTCCAGAGGAACAGAGCCAGCAGGGGACCTGAGGCGGGCGTGTCTGCCGCTTCTCCTTTCCCTTACTGGTCCAGACAGATCACCAATGAGATGGACGGGCACCTCCCCGCACAGATAGGCATCTGAAGGCTCCCCTCAGTATACCCACCCCGGGGTGCTCTGGAAAGCCAGCCAGGGCGGATGTGCTGGTAGTCTGTGCTGGGAGAATGCCCCCCCAGCCCTGGACTGCCTTCTTTCCGGGGATTTTGTGAGGAGAAAGTGAAGTAGGGCCCTTCAGAAAAAGAAGGGAAGTTTGAGCGATGTTTGTGTGAAGCCCAAGGGTTCTATTCTTGTTTTGCTCTCAATGTCATAATATGAATTTTTTTTTTTTCCAAATGTGATCCTGCATCTGTTTGTCTTGAGCCTGGTGAGGTCTGTGGGGCCCAGGGCAATCTGCCTGATGCATAGAGGAGGACAAAGATTCCCAGAGAGGAGCATTGACCTGCCTAAGGGTGCCCAGCAGGTTGAGCAGAGCTCAGTTGGGACCTATGTCTTCTGATGCTCTTTTCCTGTTCCCTCACGTCACCTCTTGTCTGAAAGAGCAGTGTCATACAGGTGTGTGTGTGTGTGTGTATTAAAATACCACATAAAATAGTCATTTAAACCATTTTAAAGTGAATGATTCATTGGCATTTACAAGTACATTTATAAGTCTGTGCCACCATCACCTCCAACTAGTTCCAGAACATTTTTACATCAAAGGGAAACTCTATACCCACTAACAGTCACTCCCAATTCCCCTTCTTTCAGCTCCTGGCAACCACTAATCCACTTTCTGTTTCTATAGATTTACCTCTTCTGGAAATTTCATATACATGGGATCATTCGAAATGGGATCAGTCTTTGTGACTGCCTTCTTTCCAGAGCGTGATGATTTCCAGTTCATCCTTGGTGTAGCGTGTGCTGGTACTCCGTCCCTTTCCATAGCTGAATAATGTTCTTGGATGGCTAGACCACATTTTGTTTATCCATTCATCTGTTGATGGACGTTGGGTTGTTTCCGCTTTTTGGCTATTGTGAATAATGCTGGTGGTGGTGGTGGTGGTTTAGTCACTAAGTCGTGTCTGACTCGTGACTCCCTGGACTGTAGCCCGCCAGGCTCCTCTGTCCATGGGATTCTCCAGGCAAGAATGCTGGAGTGGGTTGCCATTTCCTTCTCCAGGGGAATAATCCTGCTATGAAGCTTCATAACCTGAGAGAGAGGATCCCAGCCAATTTTGTTTGTTTTTGTTCCTTTCGGCATCTCTGCACAGCACGTGGGCTCTTAGTTCCCTGACCAGAGATCGAACCTGTGCACCCTGAAGTTGAAGTGTGGAGTGTTAACCACTGGACCTCTAGGGAAGTCCCCCGGGCCAGTTTTGAGAGAATGAGGGGGCCTCCATGTGTTGCCCCCTGAATCCTCCTGGTGAGTGTGTGTGTGTATGTGTGTGTGCACACGTGCATGTATGTGCATGTATACACACGCCCGTGTGCCTGTGCCTGTGTTTGAGAAGTGCTTGGTGCACACACTTCCTCTGCAGGCCTGTCCCCTGGCCCTTTCTCCCGTGAATGGTTTTCTATCAAACGTCCATCACATTCCCCCCACCCCGCCCCAACTCTCAGCTTCTGCGGGACTCCAACTGATCCAGGCCCAGAGTAAAAGCTCTCAGTACATACACGTGGAGACTCCTCTCAGGTGTTTGCAATGCAAAGGGCCTGATCTGATGAGGAAAGTCAGACTCAAGGGCCAGACTGGGCACAGGGTCTGAGTCCTGGTTTGACTTTGCACTAAAAAGATTAACAACTGCCAACGTGTCCAGCACAGAGTGGGGAGTTGAAGGCAACTTGTAATCAGACTACCCTCTTTCCTGGACATGTAACCAGGGCATGGTGCACACTGCAGAGGCCCAGGCAGAGCAGTGTTGGGGTCTGCCACGGTCCCTGCCCAACTGTGCAACTGGCTGGGCCG